ATGTAGCGTTTGCGAGGGAAGAACAGCGCGGAGGTGATGAGCTACAAGGGCTCAGGGGTTGGATGGTTGGACTGGAATCAAGTGAACCGTGAAGGCGGGACGTCGCCAGAACGAGCAACCGTGACGTCGATATGTCTTGTCCCTTGTCACCAGGCCTCGGAGTGACCGTGGGAGCAAAGCAGGGGAGTTGGTAGGCACGAAATAACGCAGTGAGTGGGTGGGAAGAAATCAGAGTCAGGGATGACATGTTTTGCTCTTTTCATTGCGGGTGTGGTGAAAGGTGCTAAGCTGCTCGGACAGTTATAAGAGTCACCAAAGGGGGGACCTCGATCCGCGAGAACCAATGTGGCGTGGCATTGTTGTTGAAGGAAGTGGGTTTTGGGGCCAAGCTCCGGTGACCCGATGGCACCAGAAATACGCAGGCTGCGGCCCACTCCGCTGCGTTAGATTGGTCCCGTCGACACCAAAAAAAAAAAAAGCCTCCTGCGAAAAGTTGCGCTGTGTGGGTGGTCTTCGTCTTCAGGGGCAATTTGGGATCCTCACTGATTCGCGTCACTCGGCCCAGATAATTCGGTGGCTAAGGTCAGTTTGTGATCATGTTGAAGGTTTTGTCACACACCGAATGATTCAGTGCTGTTCTCCGTCCGTGGATGTAGGCACGGCATTTGACTCCCGTTGAAATCTGCCAACGTGAAACCCGGACTACGCTGGTGTTGGAAATGAGACAAGGGTCGCCTGCAGTGCTTCCACACATTCCCATGCCCAGCAACCTGATTGGGCATGGCGACCACGATGGCAAGTTTTCACTGGTGCAAAAGTGAGCGACGACGGCGCCTGGCCACGAAACATCGTGGGAAACTCACGCCCAGTCGTGGAAAAAGATGGTGTGAGCACCTCATGCAGCCAAGCCAGCCTGCCCCAGCTCTTGGACCAATGACTACAACCCAACCCTGTGGCCGCCAGCGTCAGGTGGAAATCGCCTTAAATATGTCTCCAGCACCTATCTTGATTCTATTTCCCCGGCAAAGCAATTCACACAAGTCAAGGGCATAGGAGTTCCGTTCTTTTGTCTGTTTTTGTCTATCAGATAATTACCTATCATTGGCGACCACCGCGACATCAAAATATCTTGTTTACCCCCTTTTTGACGAACCAACCGCCTACTCCTGACTCCCCGCACTCATCATGGCCGAGTTTAGCCCAAGTATGATTCTGCGCGGTGGGGACATCAGGCCTGCGTTCCTTCAGCATTCGAGTTCCCCTTCCGATCACACGAAGAGAGGAAGGCGCAGGCTTTCCGACAGCCCCGACGGCGATGATGCTTCCATGCAGAAGAAGAAGCCTCGCGTTCGGTCCCCGACTGGCAGCGAAGACGAGCACCAAGAGTTTGAGGAGGACGCCGCTGATCACGTTGCCGGAGCTAGCGACGCCGGCACGTATGCAAGCGATTCAACGTCGGACTCAGGCTACTACACCAAGGGCTCCTCACTGTCCCCAAGGGATGGAAATCCTTCGCCAGGCTCGAACTCTGGGTCCAAGCCTGTGCCCGAGGGTTATAAGGCTCAGGGGTACTACTGCTACGAGAAATCGACTCGGCTTGTCAACTTGCCAGGGTAAGAAGTTCCAGTCGACATTGCTGTGAGACTGAACATGAAACGACACTGACATGACTTGACACTGTGTTAATTAGCCCGCAAAGTCCTGACGGCCGCTCTGAAGATGCCCCTTCATCCGAATCCGCCCGCTCGAACGCGCGCTCAGGTCGAGGCCACAGCGATGGGTCCAAGAGCAGCTCATCAGAATCTCAGCAGGACCGCATTGAGCAGATGGCTGACAACGACAACGACGAGTACGACGGCGACCCGAAGTTACTCGAATACGTTAGGACGCAGCTGTCAGAGGCGTCAGCCCGAATTTTCTGTCGTTCTGTGAAGGGAAAGCTCGTCTACGTCCCCCGCGAGGACGCGGACTCGGTCGGAGATCTCGGCGCCTTGTCTCTCCTGGATGGCCTCTATCAGAACATCGATATCAACAAGTTCATACCCCCGACGACATCGTCCACATCTGGCTCGAGCGCAAGCAGCAGCAGCTCCTCTGGGTCTGGACATGGACATCACGATGGATCCAGCCGACGAGGCGGAAACCGAGCCACGGCTTCTCGGGGCTCTGGACGGGGCGGCGGTCCGAGACGCGATTCCAATGAGGAGCCGGGCGACCAAAACGGCAAGCAGCCAGAGAAAATGGCCCCTCCGGACCCAGGGAAGTCTGGATCGACGCAAGCGCCAATGCGCAATCTTCGCTGCGTGTACAACGCATGTGATCCTGACCATTACTGCGGCATCGCTGGACGCAAGTACAAGGCGTGTGCCGGGCCAGGCTACACGAAAATGCAATACCTTAAGTGAGTGTCCCCGAATTGCTGTTCTCTCGTGGCCTTGTCCTCATTACTTTTTTTCTTTTTTTTCTTTTCTTTTTTTCTCTTTTTTTTCCTTTTTTCTTCTTTTTTTTTTCTTTTTCTTTTTTTTTTTCGTAACTTGTTGAACATGGCTGACCGCCCCGGAGGGAGCACATGAAGAACACGCACCGGGCCGCGGAATCAATCAAGTGCACCAACTGCCAGGAAAGCTTCAAGACTGCGAAGGAACTCCAGGCTCACAACCGCGACGTGGAATGCCCCCTTCGCTGTCCCGAATGCAACGCGCCGTTCGAGAGCAAGGGCGATCGCAAGGCCCACATCGACCAACAGCATCCCCAGGGCGAGATCCACCCTCACCTACGCGACATGGATGAGGACACCTTCAGCACGCTCAAGGCGCAGTTGAAACAATTCTCCCCCTCCCAGCGGAAGGGGAAAGCGACCCGGAACGAAGCCCTCAGAGTTCATGATCGGCCGAGACCCCGAGTCGATCAATCCTCGGCTCGAGCTGGGACAGTGGTACATCATGTTCACCTTTCTCTTTCCCGAAAAAGCAGTCCCAAAGTGTCCCTGTAAGTCCTCCAGCAATACCTACCTACCTACCTACCTACCTCAAGGCCAGTACTAAGCCTGACTCCCTCTGGCAGTCTACGGAGTCGGCGACGTGGCGCTCAACCATGAGGTGGCCATCGAACACATCCTCCTCGTGTATGAAGAGACCGTGACGGCGATGCTTGACGGCCCAGAGGGACCAGCCCCGATGGACCCTCACCAAACCCGCGACTTTTACCGGGCAGCGCTGCGCGTCACATTGAACATCTCCGCCAACACACGCCTGGAACGGGGGGCGCTGGGGCGCTTGGTGCAACCTGCCGATGGCAACTTGTCGGGAGCCAATGACAACCAATCGGAACCGTTTCCCCCCCGGCCAACACTGCCTTTGTTGATGGATTTCCCGCAGCCCCTGGGCCTTCCCTGTGGGCCGGGGCTGCGCTCGCCATGCCCAGTGTCACTGCACCTTTGGGACCTACCCTCATACACCAATCATCTGGATACTTGCCCAACATAGCGACCTCTGATTTTGCGACAAATGAGCAAGTCGCTTTTCAACCTAGCGGCAATGATGACTATCTCGCGGGACTCAACTTCGATCAACCTCTTGGCTATCAGGACCCGCCTTATCCGAATAGTCTAGACGTGGCGGGACCTTTGGAAGGAGAATATCAGGGCCTGGGGGACCCGTGGCAGCCAGAGCCTAGTTGGTAACCGACAGTAAGTAGGTGCTGATGAGTTTGCCGATCTTTCCAGCCTGTTGGATCCGTCAGTCAACACGGTCATTTTTGCTCCTTCGTCATTTCATTTTGTTGGAAATTTCCGGATTGTAACTCGGGAGTTCGTCTAAGCTTCTGAGCCGGGGAAGGCCTTTGGGAACCTGGAATGCAGAGGAGGTACATGGGATAGCAGTCTTGGATTTATTTCTGTTTGCCCTCAAGTCAAAGTTGTCATCTCGTCCGAGGCCCTGCAATTTACACGCCCTTTTAAGACGGTTCTACTCAGCGTGCGTAAATCCATGGTACCCGCAGTCCAATGCCTGTTTCATTGCTTGGTTCTTACCAACCCAGCGGTGAGGGCTATGAGACCGGAGCGGCAGCGAGAAAGACAGTGGGTATGACGAATCTGCGCTCGAACGATTTACCCAGCCTGTAAAAAGGAGGAACAAGACCGTTGCCTTCTTATAGTTGCCACTAAGTTTACCTACGTAGAGAAACAAGCTTGTGCTCTCACGCTCTAGAACGAGCACGAAAGAAAATGTGACTGAATATTAGATAGGACGGGGGCTGTTGAGCGGGAGCGACAGCAAATTGCCAGACCCAGTCGCTCATTTGTCACCAGAGGGGTATGTTCGGTCTGGTCTTTCCTGAGGCGGTGTGGCCATATTCGAGGCCTCTTCAGGGTTCAGGTTCCATCCTGCCTTCCTCAGGTGCCTAACCGCCCCACACGGAGAACAACGGACGTGCCATCCGCCCCAGCACCGATGCAGAGTTGGGGATGTTGTCAATGAGGCTCTGGGGCCAGTCGTGTCCAAATTTACGACCACATCGTTAGTATATGTTGCAAAGTTTTCCAATCCAGCATGGCAATGCAGCGCCGAGCTGACTCAACCCAAGGTCTGGAAGCGTGAAGCTCAGTGCCTCGTGAGCATTGAAAAGTTCTATTCGCACAAGCAACCTTCATCGATTGCACACGTCGGTAGGTTTGCGCCACCTGCGAGCAGAGCCCCGATCAAAACCCGCCCTGGCTGACCAGAGGCCTTTTCAAACGCAGCGCCGACGTACATAGAGGCAATGTTGGACACATCGAACCCGAAAGAAGCCGACTCGGAGCGCCTCAGAAGGGAGCGGTATCAGTCTGTTGTCTCTTATTTTTTTCTCTTGCGTTATCACTACCGTCTCTTCTTGTTGATGTTTGATCTTCAATACTTAAAATATCACATCTTTCCTAGATGCTATTTCCGCTCACGAAAACAGTTGGCACGACGCCGGGACATACAACCTCGACATCTCCACCAAAAACACATCAATCCGGGCGTGTAGCTCAGGGGTAGAGCGTTCGCTTTGCATTCGCAAGTCTGCGAAAGGCCTTGGGATCGATTCCCAACTCGTCCAGTGGATCTGCTCAACAAGCAGAGATATCCTTTTTGGTGGTTGGATATGTGGATTGCATTGGGACAGGGATGGAGTTGGTGTGGGACCTGATTGATATATTGACATGGCTCTGCTTATTACCCCTGACCCCTGGATTGACCCTAACCCTGAGCATCCCAGAGTGCGTTTAATCCCCTTGAACTGTTGGATGGCATCGTGGGCGTTGGGAGGCGATATGGTTTACCAGGCTTGAACTCCCGTCTATGATTTTGAGGGGAGATGACACAGCACTGAAAGAGAGCCTGGCGAGCTTGATGTTGGGGTTTAGTTTTGCTGCCTGCCCGGCTGAGCACTACCAATATGGTGTCACCATGGTGTCGGGCCAATGATGTCGTGAAAAATGAAAAGACGAGATTCGACAACGCTAGATGATCCAGTTACGGTAGAGTGGGAGCTAGTTGACCATCGCCGGTGGGTGTCCTCATTGAATTGAACGATTGCAACGGACGAGAGGTTGGCTGTCGAAGGAAGTGTAATGATGGCCTGGCCCAGCTGAGAAAACACGGTGCTTGACCGAACCCGAGATATCCAGGTGTCACTTGACACCAACGCATACGGGTGCTGGTGCCTTGGAGGAGATGCGTAAGCCATGGATTCACCAGAAAAGGGTGGTGCAACGCCTGATGTTCGAGGATGCCTGAATCCATATCTTTTGAGGTGCCTAACTAGAGGGCCCATCAGCCCTCTCCAACCATTGCCCTTACGTCCCTGCGGCACTATCGCCCTGCAGCTTGGGCCAGCGCACGCCCCTGGACGTATGGGCATCTCAACATCGACGCCCTTTCTCGTCGGCATGAGAGCCCTTCCGTCCCAAAATTACTCCCAACAATTCCAGTAGAGACATCGCCTCCTGGGAAACCCAACCTAGATCGGGCACTGCCTCCGCATCTCCAACACGCCAACTTCCATGCTCCCTCAACGCTCAGCTCATCAACTCAACCCCGTTTCGTATCGCCCCTACGACAGCTCCCGTTTGTATTTGCTCGCTCGCGCCGCTGGCAACCCTGTGCTCAATATCGGCCAATGCATCCAGCCAGGTGATCATGGCTTCAGGCTTCGCCTCCAGCTTGACCAGCTCCTCCGACAATGCCGTCACGATATCCGCCAGTGCAAGGCCCTGCTGTGTCTTGAGGATGTTGATGGTTGACAGACAGCTCGTGACATCGCTTGTACTCAGCAGAGTGCTGAGAATCTTCTTAATCGCATCTGGCGGGGGTGCCGCGACGCAGTTGTAGATCGTCTCCGTTGTGATGGTCTCGCGAACGATGTCCTTCTCCTCGACCTTCGGGCCGTCGCGTGGCTGGAGAGGTGTACCTATTCCGTTATGTTAGCGGTAGCAGGCCAAAAAAATGTAAAAACATACTCGATGCATGACACGCCTGCAGCACGTTCAGCGCCCTACGCATATCCCCCTTGCTGAGCCGTACCAGCGACTCGGTAGCCTCTTCTGTGATCTTGACGTTCTCCTCCACGATAACCTTGTCAACCAGCACGCGAATATCCTGCTCTTTCAACGGGCTGAAGCGGAAGCGCGTGCATCGGGACAGCAAGGCAGGGCTGAGCTTGTGCGAGTAGTTGGCAATGATGCAGAAACGCGTGTTGGCAGTGTATTTCTCCATGATGCGGCGCAGCGCCATCTGCGCGGTACTGGTCATCGCATCGGCCTCGTCGAGAATGATGAGCTTGAATGTCCCAAGGGCTGACCGCGAGGCGCCGCCCATGCTGAAGATTTGTTTTGTGGAGGCAAAGGTCTTGATCTGCTCGCGCACGACGTCGATGCCGCGGTCGTCGGAGGCATTGAGCTCCAGCACCATCTGGCGCATGTTCTCGGTACCGTAGATGCGGCGCGCCAGAGCGAGGATGGTCGAGGTCTTTCCGGTACCTGGCGGGCCGTAGAGGAGGAGATGGGGAAGGCGGTTTGAGTCGACGAACTTGTTGATTGTCGCGAGGATGTCTTGGTGACCAGAGACGTCGGCGAGCGTCGCTGGACGGTATTTTTCGACCCTGCAGGCTATCCGTTAGCTAAGCCAACATTATCCGCGTCTGAGCGACTGACCATGGCAAACTGTCTTCGGCCTCGACGGGCAAGTTCGCGGCGCTGCGCTTGCCCTTGGTGGTGTTTGCCGAGAAGGTGACGTCCTTGGACGGGGGGACGTCGATGTCCATGTCATCCTCAAAGTCCGACATTCTGTGCAAGGCTTCCGTATTGTTTTCAATCGCGATTCGGTAGCGTGGATTGGGGTTGGCGGCTGGGCTTCTGGTTTGGCGATTTGGAGTCTGGTGTTTGATGTCGGGAAACGCGTCATGCACATTGTGACGCGTTAATGGATGCCCCGCAGCGGGTAGGCCACTAGGGTTAGGGTCCACATCGGGTTCGGGTGAGCGCTTGGCAAAACTTTGGCAATCCCTTTGGAACTGACCATGCAACACAAGGCTGTCCAAACTTAGCAGATTATTTGTCAATCCAATTCACCTGCAGCTCACCCGAACAGCATGGGGTATCACGTCAGTCATCCTGCGCAAGTGCTGTGTTACAGCCTGCACCTCCGTGGCGATAGAATAAGGAGCGGCCTGAGCCCACTGTAATGAACAGTTGTGGCGTCCTTTATGCCTTTCTTCACCCGACGTTGGGGCCGAGGCTCGCTGTTCAACCCTAAAGCTTACCTGAAAGGTGGTAGATAAGGAAGCCTGGGCAATATGCTGCTGGCAGAAAATTTCGCCACTTCTACCTTCCTCTTGACACACACATCACGGGTCACGACCACCACGAACACCAAAATGTCCACGCAGGACCAGCAAGACATCCGCCGCAAATATGCCGCAGACAAGAGGCCAGCAGGAGAGCACGGGGGTATCCAGGGTATCAGCCCACGTCACCAATGGAGGTGACGCCGAATCGAACAAACAACAATTCTGAGACAGCTCCTCAATGCTGCATCTGCGCCCCCAACGCGAGGTCACCCTTATAGGGACACTGCTTGGCAACATCGGCCGTAGGGGTCGAGGTACCTGATAAAGTCGTCTTTCCCATCAAACTCACTCAGCCAACTTTAGTCGTGCCCGACTTTCACTTTGTTCTACAAGTTCTCATCCGCAACCCATCGCCCACAAACTCCTCCGCGACACCCTCGAGCGTATCCGCGCGGAGTGTCCCTTCCACCCCGCTACCATCATCCACGAAGCCCTGTCCATGGGCCTCATCCCCTTCACCCTTAGCGCTCCCCTCCTCAAGGGATAAGATACCTTCCCGCCAGTCATCAACTCTGCCACGACCAACAACGCCGCCCCAGATGCAAACGTCCCCCCTTTCGGCGCGTCCCTTCCCTACGATCCCACCGCCGAAAACAAAGCACTTTGGGAATCCACCCACGCCGCCCAGACACCATTACACACCAACGTTGAAACCCACTGGAAGGTCGCAGGGCTATTTGTTGCCACCGCGAAAGTTTCCTGGCGAACCCACGGCATCGGGAGTGGCCGGCTCTTGCGTGGCTACAAGATGTGTTGACGCAAGCACCTGGCACAGGTGAGTGTGCTAATTTCGTTGGTCGTTTACTGAGGTGTGGGATGCCACATGCTGAGATGAACCGCGGTGGGGGTTTGGAAAAGCTAGGGGCAAGCCGGTTCATTCTTGCTTGCCGGCTTCCATTCGCCGCATCCGGACCGCGAGTTATCATCAGCCGAGAATGGCAAACGAGCCGGTACCGTCGTGTCGGAACCGAGCACCACTTGAGTGGGGTTCCTTCCCGTTGCTGATAACATTTGAAGGTACGTTGCCTCGTCTAGTTGCTGATGTCCTGCGCGACGACTGAAGAAGTTGAGGAATGGCGAATGATAAAAGTCCCGAGGACACCGTCTCTCGACGTAGAGGTCAGATTGGCCTCAGAGCTTCATGAAACAGCGTATCTAGCGGGCTTGCACTGCTCTTGACATTGTATCCGCCATCTCCAAATCTCTTAACAGAGGTACCATCACCAGCTTCGCCTACAAACATGCGTATTTCAGCCTTGGTGTGGATGTCCTGTTCAATGCTGTGGGGCGGAGTCCATCCATCGCGTTTTGGTAAGTGCATATAAGCGGACTCTTTGTCGGGAACATATTTTGATGGTGATGACTCCCAGAAGTTGCAACAGATGTGGACATGAACGCAACACCTCCAGCACCTCATCCCTCTCCAGATCTGTACCCTTGGCCACAGGACCCAATTCCTTGTGGGAGAACGAAGGACTGCACTAAACTTATAATTTAGTATCTGCTCGGATAAGGACACAACTTAGGACAATGTACCGAGACTGGGTAGACAGGTAGTGAAGGAGGTGCGGGATAATAGCACCAACATCACCGTGTGAAGTTCCCGCCCCTGGCGATACTCAGATACCGGCGGTGTTTATGTGCATTGCTCGAGTACTTGTACCTGTATCGGACCTCTTCTCTTGGTGGTTCTTGAGAACCAGCGACAGGTATTACTAGTAGATGACTGGCATTCCCAGGGTCACACATTGGCCCTGCAAGCTGCCGGTGGAAACCGGCTAATATACCTTCCGGCCTCGCAGATTCCCTGCACGATATTTCGGTGCGTGCACATCAATGTGCCCATTCACCCGGGGAACCAGTGGTGACAGCCGATATCAATGCGCTACCTACCCTCACGTTGCGCCCTGGCTAGGACTGCGTTTTGCACCGTGCCAGTAATACTAGGCCACTGATTCGCCTCAACAGTGGTGCTGTTGCTTTAACTGCAAGCATTTCCAGGGCAGGTCCCCCCTTCGCCATGCCGAATCTGTTGTTCTTTTGTCGGCAACTTGTTCGTTCGGCCGATTCGACAACTCGACAATGTCGACCAACTCATGGACGCCATACAATGTGCACGTTGGGACATGGACCGACTGGTCAAGAGGCAAGGTGCTAGGCGCAACGCTAACCCTCACCCGTCAGGGTAGCGGTCTCTTGATCGCCTTCCT